AAAGCATATGTAACAGACTGAGAGGAAAACAAAAGCACGTGGGTTTTTTTTATCGAATATATTCAACTCTACAGTAATAACAGAAAAGCAGCGATGGGTTTGTTAACATTGTGTTGAGGGGACAGACAGTCAACAGGTCGTCATTTTAAATAGGTACATGAATGCTGAGAAGTGCATAGATGTGAAATAATTATGGTGAAAAATAGAGATAGCTTAGTAAACCGGATGAGAACGATTCTAATAAATCCTTACTAATAAATCCCTATAAAATTGTTTTATGACAGTTCGTTCCAAATAAAGTAAATTATAGAATAGAAACACGCAACCAGTCTCTTGATCGATTAGATGTTAAGGGAAGTAACTTAAAATTAAAGAACAGTGCTGGTATTTCTGTGTTTTGCTTCAATATTTGCATTTTCAGCCAAAGTATGTCAACGGAAATAAGGTTTCAACAATATATTTTATGTATAAATCCCATGAAAGAAATGGGTTTTAGAGAAAACTTATGATTAACAATAATATAGGCCCATTTTATCTTCATTTTACATAGGAAATGCATTTAAAATTGTAAAAATATTGATTTGACAAAATCTATAAAGGAAGGCTGGCATGATGGGTAAAAAAAACCTGAATTGAACATGTTTGGTACCATTAAATCTCTTCACAAAATTCCTTAAAATCAATAAAAATAGATTTTAAGTTAGTTTGTTGTAAAAAAAAAAAAAGGAAAAAAAGCTCTAGGTCTATAAAGTCAATAAAGAATTTTGTGTCTGTTTACATACTAAATGTCATATATATCCTTTGGACAGAGTGCGAAGTGTTAATTTCCATAAATGATGTACATCAAATGTTTCTACGCAAAATGACACTATAATAAACAAATATTTGCTTGCTAAATTATTTTCAATCATCGAAAAAGATTTTATTTTTATAAACAATCGATAATCAGAATTTGACATGGTGTGTAAAATCAAAACCAGATCCGTAAAAGTATGGACCTGCCTTAATGTCCGATTAATTGTCATTCTCTGTTATCATGTAAATATTTGTGGCATGCATAGTTACAGCTTTTTTTCTTTTAAATTTACTTTAAATCATTAATAATATTAGAACATTTTATCTTTGCATTTTATAAGGAATATTAAAATCTCAAACTAAAATTTTGTTTTATTTATTTAAACAAAACTGAGGTACCCATGATACAAAGTTTCTGGAAAAAATTAAATCTTTCATTTTCTGAATTAATATATTGACTCAAGTTTATATAGATTTTTTTTTTCATATTCAATATTAATTAATATTCTCCTTCCATCATCTGATCTGTGTACATTCCAACAATGCTAGGTAAACTTTTGTGAAATAGGACAGACACAACTCTACTATGAAATGAATCAGAAAAAAAAAATGGTAGCTTGAACCAGCCCATCTAGCATTGTCAACGTTTTACATAACTGTAACATAATGAGATTCTTGTAGAAAAGTAATTTTACAATTAATGACATTAAACCAGTTATAAAGAGTTTGCCTGTTAGAATAGTCATTAAACCCGCAAGCATTTAACGACAAAAACTTTGATAAAGCTGACAAATACAGGAGTTCAGTGAGTTCAATGATGTACATTTTAACTTAACGTTTACCGTTTCCATTGATTTATCCCCTGCCATTTCAAAGATTTTTTGCGGCACAAGCAATTATCTCCCTCATCATGTTTTTCCAGGTCAGGCTGTTGGTAATATTTTGATTGTTTCTTCGTATGACAGGGCAGTACATCAGTACAGGTGATATTTTTCTTATTCAAGACTAGTCTTTGTGATATCACACACATCTGCTTCTTCAATGAGAATGGAACTCGGAAATATTTACATCTTTTGATTGGTCATCGACAAAATTACCTCGATTAAAATCATTCTGATTCAAGGCATAAGTACTCTGAAGTTGATATTAAAGAGATGTGCTGTTCCTCATGGACACCAATCATGCAGTCTTCGAAGACTTAGTCTTCCAATAGACTTTTGGAATCGCAATTGGCACTAATTGTGCTCCTTTATTAGTCAACCTGATTTTATATTACCATAAGGCAGAATTTATTCAAATACGAGAGAAACACTATGCAGGAGCAGAATGGAGCCAAAGTAGGAAAGCGAAGTTTTAAACTGAATTATATAGGAAAAATTCTTTCAATATCTTCTTCTCAAGAACCACTTTTCCAGAAGTTATAAAATTTATGTGGAATCTTCTGATGTAAGATAAATTCTGAATTGTTCAATTTATGGCCCACGTGGAAAGAATGGGACCACAAAATGGCCCACAAAAATCTTTACATTGAAATATATAGGAAATAATCTTTAAACATCTTCTCAAGAAGCACTGCGCCAGAAAAGATGGAGTTTGTGTGGAATTTTCCTGAGGTTAGGTTAATTCTAAATTGTTCAAATCATACCATCCAGCCGGGGATAGCTGAGACCACGTTAAAAATTTTTTTGCCCTGAAATATATAGGTGTATCTTTTGCTTGTTCATATAATATCCTGAATATATAAGAGTAAAGTTATGTTTTAAAATGTAATTGTCATTAAATCAATTTTAACTGTGAAAATATGCATAAATAGAAAAAACTCTTTATTGGTGCGTAAAGATGTATACCAAGATAGGGAAAGGAATTTTTATGAATAGTGTAATCAAAGGTCAAAAAGATGAAATTATATAAAAGCCTTTTCTGAAATATGTTAAATGTTTCTAAATAATTAAGAAAGAAGTCAATTTCATAAAACATAATTGAATTTTTTTTATCTACGCAAACATTTTAGCCAATGGTTATTGAACTGGCTTTTATAAATTATAATTCATTTTGAATTAAAATTAAATCTACAAAATTTGGAGCAAAAAAGAAAATTCAACATTTAAAAAAACAATGCTTTAAATCAAAACTTATATTTACTTTAAAAAATGTATATTCAAATTTTGGACATTAGGAAATAAATATCAGTATGCAAATACAGAAACAAATTCTCGATGACAGCTACTACTTAACTGTTCATAATATGTATAAATATTACGAATATAAACTTTAAAAAAATAAGTCCTAAAATATTGCCATATAGCAAAGGTTTGATATATGTTAAAGTTTTTTTTTTAATTTTGAACCGAAGAGATAAGATGTTTTACATAAAATTTTCTTTTAAAATAAATTAAAAACCTTCACTGAAGAACAGCAAAGCCATGTTTACTTGTATAGAGGGAAAATGTGATATATGTTCATATACAAATGTTCTGCTAAATATACTTTTAAAACCATCTCTCATGAAAACGGTATGAGGATTTATCCAGTAACCTTTTAGCAGCGACATTCCTGTCCCATTCCTGTTACATTTCTTGACCAAATTAGTAATCCATCCATTTCAGAGTATTAAGTTTAACTTTGTCCAATTCTGGGCGAAAAAAATTTAAAATTTGAACTTATACGTTTGCTTAAAGTAAAATGGCAATTTAAATAATTATCTCAGTTAAAACAAAAACGCGACAGAAAAATAACTAAATTAACTTTAATTCCTTAATGGCAATAGTTCATTTTATTTTTTATTTATGGACAAACAATTTACAGACTTCTTTTGATATCTTCTAACTCATAGCAAATAACCAGGAAAACTAAACCAGCTTTATATACATGTAGTAATTTAGTTATGTTATTACTGCCAACATTCAATATATAATTAATGGTGTATCTTATAATATCATAATATATACGATTTGCTTGTTCGTGTAATGTCCTGAATATATAAGAGTAAAGTTATGAATTCAAATGATAATTGTCATTAAATCAATTTTAACTGGGAAAATGTGCATAAATATGAAAAACTATTTATTGGTGCGTTTATATCTATACCAAGATAAAGAAAGGAAATTGTGGAGGAAGAGTGTTAAACGAAAATTTGAGATGAAATTCACTGGGAAGAAAGAACGCCTTTTCCTCAAATATCTTAAAAATGTTTCGAAGAAAAGACGTGAGAAAGAAGTCAATTTCATAAAACATAAATGAATTTTTTTTTTATCTACGCAAAAATTTTAGCCAATGGTTATTGAACTGGCTTTTATAAATTATAATTCATTTGGATTGGAAGATTGGATTGACAAAATTTTCACAAGAAAAGGAAATTCAACATTTAAAAAAAAAATGCTTTCAGCACACTCAAAATTCTTATATTTACTTAAAAAAAAACTACAATATTGACAAATTTTTGGACTTAGGAAATAAATATCAGTATGCAAATGCAGTAACAAATTTTCGATGACAGCTATTACTTACACTGTAACTGTTCATAATATGTATAAATATTACAAAAATAAATTAAAAAAAAAAAGTCCTAAAAATATTGCCATACCCCCCCCTAGGTTTTTATGTGTGAAAGATAGCATATTTGTTTATTGGTTACAGGGTACAATCTCATCGGTCATACAAATTCAAAAGCATAATAAACAAACAAAATTATAGAAATGTAAATCATTTTTTTTATATGTCTAAGGAGACTGAAATTCTCGTGTTACCAATAATTGTCAGGGGTGTTGAACACAAATACTAGTATTACTCCGAAGAAAAGAATCTAATCTCATGGTGCTTTCTGCATTACTTTTTTTCTGGGGCTGGAATCATTGATTTAAGGACAGATGATACAAACAAACTTTTGTCAAGATAATTGAAAATTACAACTTGAGTCATGTTTTAATTAGGAAAATGAACAAGTTTCACCGAGTATTTTTAATTTTTCATTCAATGTTTCTCAATAATAAACTAAATATTATTTGTATAGATTAATAAGGATGGTTGCAGAAAGGTAGAGTTTTGAACATCAAAGAAGATTTACAATTTCTTTATATAATAAACATTATTTGCAATAAAAATAGGCCCAAAAATATATACCAATCCAGGCATCCATTTTTTTGTTTGTATCATCTGTCCTTAATGGCAGTAGCTGCGCATGCGAACTTTGATTCGAGATAAACATTTTTATATATATAATGTAACGAAGGATATTTATAAATGTGCTTGTATTGCCTTAAGACATGAACGTTTGATTCTGAGGTAAGATTCTACCTTCACAAAAAACGGTTTTTTCTGGGTATTTGTGAATTTAAAATTTAAAAAAGAAGAAAAAAGAAAATCTATAATAATCTAATATTTCAAGCACTAGTTATTTATCAATCACATGCAGAAAATTTAATTTTTAATCTATTTGGTAAATTTTGGGGAAAAAAAATAATTTATACAGTTGAATTATTTGTGTCCTCTTTATAATAATTTATTATTTTAAATATTCAGAATGGCTTATCTAGAGCGTGCATCAGAAAAACTTTTTGTTGGACTCTCTGAATGTCGTTTTATTGGTACGCAGGAAGAATTGACCATGAGAAGGGATATTATAGAATTAAAAGGTAGAATAGATAATAAAGTAAGTCCTTTCGGATGCAGTATGTTGCATAGTGGCAGCAAACGAGAGGGATTTCGAATGGAAAGTTCAGATTGTGACGTAATGTTATGGCCGAAGTTCCATAAACTTATATATGAATTATCTCAGACCAAACATTACAACTATACAAACACTACTCTGATCTTAACGGAAAGTGATCACAATCTTCCTGGATTTGTTCTTCTAAAATTGCTAAATGACTCAAACAGACCTGATGTTATATTTGCTTGTTTTCCTATGAATAAGGGACGGTACATATCTAGCAGTACATACAGTAGAATCATGTGTTCTATTCTCGGAGGACCAGGATCTGTCCCTCACGGTCCATGTTTCAGTGGAACTTTGGGAAACAATGATTTTGATCTCGCATTTTGTTTCAAGTCCGACTTCTGGCCCACTCAAGCCATTTCCTGGATAGGTAGATGTAAAAATTGGCCTCCACCTCATATGGTCCGGAACATCATCAATAATGGATGTCATGTTGTACCAATCGGTCATCGGTCATCTTTATATGAAAAGACCGAATGGAGGATTTCATTTTCACAGGCAGAGCATAAACTCGTAGATTGTCTGAATCACTGCCAATTTTTGTGTTTTACTTTACTAAAATTGTTCCTTAAAGAGGTCCTGAAAAAAAGAGATAGAAGAATCTCCATTATGTTCATACCACATGAAAACGGCTTTATTCTGGGTTATTCAAAAAAACATTATACCTGAATGGCACCCACGGAATCTCCTAGAATGTTTCCGAATCTGTTTTGAAACGCTTATCAACTACGTTTATCATGGCGTATGTCCAAACTTCTTCATTCCAGAAAACAATATGTTCTTTGGGAAAGTTTACGGAAACATACAACACAATCTGTATCAGCAGCTTATCAGCTTGAAGAGGATTTGGCCATCATGTTTACTATTGAGCCAAGAAATGGAGAAAAAATTACATAAATATTCCAATTGTCCAATTCCAGTCAACTGCCAAGTTATACGCCCTATACCTGAATTTGATCGTGAATTTTTCTTTGAAATATTCTCTTATACCTTTTATCAAATAAAAATCATCTTCGATCCCATTAAAAGCTTACAGACACTAGAACAGATTTTGGAAAATGAAACCCTTACAAAATATCAGAAAACTTTTATGCAAGTTTATGTATCAGACATTCTTCGCATACTTGCATTTGAAACAGCGTCTTGTTGCGCGAATGCTTCTAATAAAACAAAGTACTTTTTCGAAATGAGATCTGATGAGATGTTAAGGTTGTCAAGAAAATTTGGTTTTCTGTCCACGCCCCTTTATGTAGCACTTTTCCTTTATAAAACAAACAGATATCTAAAAGCCGTAGAAGTATTAGAGTGTTTAAAGATCAAAATGTCCAAGAAATCTGTGATGTACCGATACACAACAGATGACTCAGCTTACGAGGAAGCTGTAGAAGAACTACCATGGTCCATAAGATTGAATCGGAATGTTGTCGCAGACATAGTATTAGATAGTGACCTGGATTATCTCAGTGAGTTAAGTCTAGAACAGGAGGTCAGTAAGAATTTCATGCCTGCAATTGGAATTCCTCCATATGTCATGCTTTATTTTCTATTGGTCTTGTGCTACCGTCGTGTTAACGCAAGGAAAGCACAGGAAGCTTTAGATGATTTGTTTATCTTTCTTCACAATGACGAGGAAGAATACGTGCTTAGCGAGTTCAGGAACATATCATGGCAGATACTAGGGATCTGCCAGGAACTCACTGATCATAAGGAAGCCGCTTTGGTCTCTTACAAAAAGGCTGTTGAAGAAGAGAAACAAGTTAATAAGATAAGTGAGGCAGCCATAAAAAGAATTGATAGAATTCAATCTGGTCAGTAAAATTAAATGTGATGATGAAACTTATATGATCACAGAATTGTATGAACACAAAAGACATGGATATATATACTTGTCTTTCTTATATAGAGACAAGTTTTGCACGTCTAAATAAAAAACCATTTTTTACAATAATGCATCTTGCTTTAACTCTGTGGCTTTACATATGTAATTTATCTCAACGAAATTTTAACATTTAAATTTTTGGGTCATAAAGCTTAAGCGTAAACATAATATCTGTTCAGAGTATGAAAATTCTTTATGTCATGTATACATTTATATATCTAAAGTAGACTGTTCCAAGGAACACAAGTGGCTTCTGCTTTGTAGCTTCGAATTCAATAAAAGTGTAAATAAATCTCAGGTTTTTTATTTTCTAGTAGCATGATGGATTACGCATTTGCCTCCACAGATTGTATAAGACTGCCATAGAATCAGACAAAGAAAATATGGTTCCAAAAAGAGAATCATTCTGTCTTTACTGCAATTGTAAGTCTACACGATCCATTGTTGAAAGCCAATCCCGATATATTTACATAGTATTTAAACATCTCTATGCTGCTACTGAATGCCAAATACTTTATTATTATTTGATTATTGCATCAATGTGGTTCGAGTTTTTGCACTTTTTATCATAACACAACCAAAGAAATATACACTTCAGAAGAAAATTATGGATAATATTTTCGTAGTCTGAAATTTTGTTTGAAATATAGCACATTCCATGAATTGAACCATGTACCTTCTTAACCTAAAACACCTGTTAAACCGTGACTTTCATTTCAAGTGCCGAGCGTTTGGCGAAGGAACAGTCACTACCTATGTTTACGTCTTAGGTATGACGCGGCGCCGCGATCGAGAATCGAACCCGGGCCTCCCGGTCACGAAGCGAACGCTCTACCATTAGGCTACCGTGACCGGTTTGATGTTTTTGTGAAGAAGATTTTTAACTAAAGATTTTTCCTATATATTCCTATGTCCATTATGGCCCCACCCTATCCCCGGGGTCATTTTTTGTACAAACTTGAATCTATACTATAGCTACCTGCAGATGATTTCATATAAATATGACCAATCATGGCTTCACTGTCCTTACAAGGAAATTTTTTTTAAGATTTCACCTATCTACAGTATTCCTTTGTTAAAATTGTGATCCCGTCCTACCCCCGGGGGTCATTATTTGAACAAACTTGAATCTGCACTACCTGATGATGCTTCAAAATGAGTTTCATCTTCCCTGTGGTTCTTGAGAAAAAAATGGTCGGCACGCAGGGTCATTGAGCAGTGAGAGATCTTTTTCGTACAACACCTATTGCGTCACCGGACCTCGGTTTATACGGTCTCATCCGAAGGACCGGTCTTCACGTCCCACAGTGGGATTCGAACCCACGACGTAAGGATTGACTCCTTACCGCGCGATTATAGAGCAGACTCTTTAACCACTGCGCCACGCAAGCGACTATTCAATAAGATATTTTCCTATATATTCTTATGTAAAATTTTGATCCCTGTTCTTGTCCAGCCCTACGCCATGGGGGTCATAATTTGATACTCTTGATAACTCTTGAGCAGCTTTTGTATGAATATGATTTATCATAGCTTTGATTTTTTTAAGCAAATATTTTTAAGTAAGAATTTTCCTAAATATTCCCATGTATAACTTTAAACTGCCTTGACGAGGTCCTTCCTACTCCTGGGGGTGATATGAACGAACTTGAATAAAATTCACAATATGTAATGTAGCTTTCATTTAAGTTTCATCTTTTCTGGCCAAATAGATTTGGAGAAGACTTTTAAGAGATGCAACCTGATTCTCACGAATTCTTTATTACATCCACTTGAAATTGATATTGATTTTGCATCATTTTATTTGTTACTTTTCTGTTCAAGTTTGAAGAATTTGTCATGTTTCCTTTTTGTGCAATTTTTGGTGTGATAAATTTTTTGGTGTCTCGCTGTACATAGGAGGAAAAGATCAGAAGGAGTTTAACGGAAGATAAAAAAGCAAAAAAAGAAAATTTTAATTACTATCTTTATTCCCTGACATCCGCCAAATCGAAGATGACACCACGATAAACTAAAGAAATTGTAAAAATAGAAAATCTCTTTCCCCTTATTTTCGTTTACAAATTTATGGTTTTTATGCCCCCGTAAACGAAGTTTCGGGGGCATATAGTTTTTGTCGTGTCCGTCTGTCTGTCTGTCTCTCTGTCTGTTTTTCCGCAAAAACTTTAACCTTGCCTATAACTTTCGATTTAGTGGAGCTATGACATTTATATATCACATGTGTATTCCTTGTGACAAGACCTTTCTTTGGTTACCACCAAATTTGACCTTTTGACCTTGACCTTGAAGTTTGATCCACTTTAACACAAAAATTGTGAACTTTTACTTTGGCCACATCTTTTGAACAATAGATACCAGGACATTTATATTTCAGGTATATATTCTTTGTTGTATGGCCTTTCATTGGATACCAATTTTTTTAACCTTTTGACCTTGACCTTGGAGATTTCCGTACCTATGAAAAAAGTTTAACCTTGGCTATAACTTTTGAACAATAAGTACTATGGCTTTCATACTTCACATATATAATTCTGATGAAAAGATCTTTTATTGGATACCAAGAATCCTGACCCTTTGACCTTGACCTTGGATTTTGACCTACTTTAAAAATACAACATTGACCATAACTTTTGTAGGGTTCCGGCTAGGGCATTCATACTTTGCAAATTTAATTCTTGGGGCAAGACCCTTCATTTGATATCAAGAATCTTGACCCTTTGGCCTTGACCTTGGAGTTTGACTTACTTTTTACAAACATTAACCTTGGCCATAACTTTTGAACAGTAGGGGCTAGAGCTTTCATATTTCACATGCGTAATCCTTGTGAAAAGACCTTTCATTGGATATCAAGAATCTTGACCCTTTGACCTTGACCTTGGAGTTTGACTTACTTTTTTAAAACTTTAACCTTGACCATAATTTTTAAAAGGTAAGGGCGAGCACTTTCATACTTCCCGTACGTAATCTTTGAGACAAAGCTTTTCTTTAGAACCCAACAACCTTGACCCTTTGACATTCAAACGGAGTTTGTCCTATATTATAAAATGTTAACCTTGGTCATAACCCTGGAACAGGTGTAGCTAGCGTTTTATATTTCGCATTTCTCGTGAAAAGGCCTTACTTTGGTACCAGCATATTTGATCTGCATTTGAGAAAGCTTGACCTTCGCTATGTTGCCATACGGGGGCATCAGTGTTTCACAAACACATCTTGTTTTATGTTTAATTTTAATGAAATTACCATTTCTATCGTTATTACCAAATCAGAAGTCTCTGTCGAGACTGTTGCTCTACTGGTTCGTACTTATAATAAAGAAAGAAAAAAGTAGCACTTGGGACTTAAAACTTTATAAAAGCAAGAAATAGAATAATGATCCTTAATTAAGTCTTTTTTTTTGTTTTTGGGGCAAGATTGCAGTAAGACTACAACTGTAGGAGTACCTATAATAAAATTGTACAGAATTTTCAATTTAAATTACTATGGCGACATAAATCATTAAAAACAAAAAAAAATGATAATGATGTATCTCAGTGTTGTCTGCTTGCATGTCAAATTACATAATCAGACTCAAACTGTAGTTTGAGTAGCTTTTTATAAGAATTACACAGAAATTTCTATTTTTATTGAGCATGGCAACACTGTTCATCGAAATCAAAAATCAATATACAGAACTACATGACTTTTTTTTGTATGTATCTTAGTGTAGTCTACTTGTGTGCCAAGTTATATTGATATAAGACCAAAATTGTAGGAGCAGTAGCATTTTGAAAAATTGTTTACAGACGGACAGACAGACAGCTAGACAGACGACACACGCATTACTATCCATAAGTTCTTCTAGTCTCTGAACAGTTAGAGCTAAAAAAGTGTATGAAAAATATGGAGATAACGAACAGTATTCAAGATCAAACGTCCATAAAACAATACAAAATAGGAGCAGAGCATACAAGGGCCTCCAAAACATCAGAGGTGGGATCAGGTGCCATGAAGGAGTGAGCATCCCCTGCTGACCGCCGTTTGCTCCTTGTCATGATCGGGAAATAACGGGAAATCCGTCGTCAATTCAGTGTATAAATAATGGACAAACAATTCGTATGAAAAACTTCAGCATTTAAATTGACTCAAATGATAAATTGTATTTGCTGACAAGGTCGTTTTATTGCCTATAGAACTTACGAAATGTTGACTATAAACGAGACTGGTGATATTCTTGTTTCATCAACATGTTTGTCAATAATATATATTGTTTTAGAAATTGTTCATACGTAGAGCATGTTCTTGCGTATCGAATCAACTGAGATACATAAACTCCATATGCAGATGATGACGGTATATTGCTGTATTAAAAGGCCATATACAATTATTGCTGTCTTTTGAGGTCAACACAATGATTTAGCCATCTGAGGAGTACAACATTGTACTTCAAAGATGGCTAAATCATTGTATTGACCGAAAAAACAGCAATAAATGTTTTATTACATGATTCACTCATAAAATGATACAGCTCATTACTTGTTTGCATTTAATGAAGTCCTAGCCAAATGTAAATATACCTTACCAGTCGTTTCAATTTGAAATGTTTTTTTTTTATCAATTTTAGTTGCCATGAATAAAAATATAATGTCAGTTTTTATATACTAAAGATAGCTTTTGAAAGGAAGGAGTATTATCATGGAAAATTCACAGCCAAAAAACAAAAATTGTTGTTCAGTAAAAGTGTTGGAGGGGGTTCTTGCATCCCCTCTTACCACTTTCGCCCGAAAATATATCTTCGCTTATGTTTTGTTCACATGAAAAAAAGTCATAAGTAATAATAATAATTTAATAATAATAATTCTTTATTCAAAGAAGGTAACCCGATTAGTGCACGCACTATTCTTCCCCGGGGCCTTCTATAGACAAAATATCAACATACATACATACATATATAAATATACAAAATTAATAAATAATCATAAGCTATTTCTACATTGTTTTACAAATTTTTTGACTTGATGCTTGAAAGCGTTGAGAGTTTGAGACATTCTTATATGTACAGGTAAATTATTCCATAAGATATAGCACCAGAGTATTGAAAGGAGTTCTCAAAGAGTTTGCATTTATGAGATGGTACACAGAGGTCTAAATTAGATTCAGATCGAAGATTGTATCGATTATTACACTGGAAGTCAAACATACTATTTAGATAAGTAGGGTGAGAGTTGAACAATGATTTGTATAACAAAACA